GAGGTATAGCTGTGTTTTGTTGGCGGGCGGGGCGCGAGGCATATATGGCGGCAGCGGCGTCGGCTGTAGGGATATATAAATGAATATTAACATATACGTATATATAAATAATAATATATATATGTATATATATATTAATATTAGCGGCGATGGTAAGAATATATAATCTTCGCATAATATCGTGGCACTTTCGTTGGCGTCGACGACGCGATGTCCGGCGTGATCCTCGGGCGTCAAAAGGTTAGCAGCGTTGATGGCGACGGTGCGCGAGTGGAGATCGGTTTATTGACGTTGCCACTTTGACAACAGGAAGAATACTACGGTATCATTAGCGGCGGTACGTCGTCGGCCGTGCGGCACTTGCTGGACTTTGCACCGCGGCGTATAACGCGCGGTGTTGGTCAGTCAAATACTCAAAATTATACAGAAAAAAATAGTGTAAGCGCCGACTGGTGAGCGGGGTGGGGTGAATGCGTTACGACGGTCTAGTCTCAAGGTCATAGACGACGGCATACGCGACATAATAACACGTGCCGCGTGGAGTTACAAACTTACAACATACAAACAAAATACAAACAACATACAAAATACATGTGAAACTAATATAAGCGTGTTAAAAAGGAACTGATTAAACAGTTGTCTCATAAAAAACTAAATTAATTAATTTTTATTGACTCAACTGTCAGACTATTCATACCTAATATTTTATTATTAATTATACATGTTGTTATATTATACAAAATGTATTGATTGTAAATTTTAAAGCAACTATCTTCTTCTTCTTCCTCGCCTTAATCCCAACTACTTGGGGACGGCCACCCTTATCTTAAACTTCCACTTGACCCGATCTCCCACATCATCTTAAATTTTAAAGCAACAATAAAAATTTAAAAAAATTAAATTTAAATATAAGGGTACTTTATTTTTATTACATATAGGATCTAAAATATCAATATAAACATCTCTGTATCGTCCACAAGGAAAGCATCCATTGATTTGTGATTGTCCTATAAATAATGGAATTTATTGTAAATTTAATTATTTAAGAATTGTTTTAAATCTAAATTAAATAAATAAGTTATTTAAATTAAGTTTTCCTTTTTGTTTTTATGTAAAATATTTTATTTTAATAGTATTAAAATGAATGTTGTAATTTTTATATAATTTTTTGTGTCTAATCTATGCTTTACATTGGATTAGAATATAATATTAATATTTTTGAAAAGAACCTTAATCAAATTTTGAATGTTTATATTTAATAAATTAAGTGATCAAATAAAAAGTCTAATCTGTCTTGGAAATAGAATTTTCATTAACTAAAATAAAACCTTTTAGAAAATTTAAGTTTTATATTAAGCGTTTATTATCAGAGTTAAATAGGTTGTATAATTTAATACGATCAAAAATATATACTACACACTTTTATCTTTAACAGCCATTAAATTTAATATTTATTAACATTATTTAGTAAATAAATTGGTGAACAAAATAAAAAACTATTATTTATTAGTTATAACGTTATTTAACACAGTTATATATATATATATTTAATTATATTATTAAAAATATTTAATATATATATGTATATATATTTTCATACAACTGTATTTACAATATAATTACATACAATTATTTAGTAAATATTTCCAATAAAGAACTAGCAAGGTATATAATAAAAATAATAGAGAAAACCATACTGTACCAATTAAACTCAATAGAACACTAGTAAAATGTAGTATATATTTAATCATCTTTGCTTGTTATAAAATAGTATTAATTGTTAGTGTTTTACTAAAATTATTGTACAACATTACGTGAACAAAATAAAAAATTACTATTTATTAATTTTAACGTCATTTAACACACATATATATATATAGTTTCATACAAATGTTTAGTTTAATTTTTATATAGTGTGTTATGTTGAATAATGTTAAAATATGCAGAGTTTTAAATGCGAAGTATTTATTTAAAAAAACATGGTATCAGATATGAGTGTCTCATAAAAATTGTTTTTTTCATTAGTTCACAAATATTTTTGTAGATAATTAAATAATATTAAATTAAACTATCCCATACTTATTAAAATTATGAAAATTTAAAATTAATAGCATTTTTATGATTTAACCAAATTAATGAAAAATACAGATAATAAACGTTTTTTTGTTACATTTATAAATTAAATTTGTTTCTAATGAGTTTTTCATTCGTCTATAAAATATTATTTTTAAATCCTAAATACATTATGACGGAAATATGATGATTGTACTTTTACCCTAAATTAAATTTTTGCTAAAATGTTTTACATAAACCAGGCTTAGTTATTTATTTAAAAATTTAACCATTTTCGTTACAGAAAAATTTTTATGCGTGATAGCTATCCATTCGAAATCAAAATAATTAACTTGTCAAATAATATGAAATCCAGTAGCGGCACAATATTCCAAACCCAATATAGTTGTAATTTTTAGTGGTAATTTGAAAATTTCTTTAAAAACGACTGATTTGTTGTTAGCTAAGTGTATTTAGTCACATGTATCGTATGCAAACTTTGATTCATCGCAGAACACGTGTATTTAAACGACCTGATTAGTTGGAATATTTGTTTGTCTATGTACCAAATATTGATCAACATTTACAGACCTCTACGCTATTCAATATACTGCTTAATGTATTCAGGTGGCATTGGACTTTCCCATTCTCTGTTGTGGCACCATAATGATTGAATACAAATCTTTGATGTAACAAAAATAGGTCCCATCAAACCTAGTCGGCCAAATAACTTGGTGAACTCTAAATTAAATACTCGCTTTTTTATTGTTATTTATTGTTTTCCAATTCGTTACGATATAGTGTAAGCTGTCTGTCATCGGTATCCAATTGATTCCAAGCGCTTTGCTGATTGGACTATACGAAAAGTTCAACTCGTGAGCGGTGCCATTTTGATATTTGGGGAAATGACTTAATAGACTAGTGTGATTAGCACACAACTTCTGCTGTAAAAAACAGAGTTTTCACATAATGTAGTAACATTACGTTGAAAGCGTTTAGTTTTTAATAGTGTATCTTTAAAATTTAAGTTAAAATTTAGTTTTAAAGAAACATAATGTATTTTAAACCATCTATTCATTATATGCCTATGTAGAAAACTTTAAGTAGTAACAGGCGGAAATGCTGCAAGGTAAAAAAAAAAACATTTAGTATGTGTTATGTAGAATTTGCCTTATGCAAGTCTTTCATTTTAGATACCTATTTAGTTCTAAACCATATAAATTAATATGAAAATTACTAAAAATTACAAAATTACATTGATTTTAACAAATAAAATCTTTTAAAACTAATATTTACAGCAATTATAAATTGTTTCAATGGAGGTCATATACTTCACTTGCCCCCACTGCATGGGGTATCAATGCATGCCTAGTAGTTATAAAAAATATAACTTTAAAATTTATTAATTAACATATTATATTCGTTTTTAAATAATTCTAAATGTTTGTCAAACAAAAGTTTCATGATCAACATGAGTTATAATTTTTTGAATGTTTCTTCAACATTTCATTATCAGGTTCTTAGAAGCGTCGAAGGTACCAAAAATGTGCCATAAAAACTTTTTAATAAATATAAAGATAATTGCAAAAAAAAATTATTTTTAAGGGTAGTATTTTGGGATAACTTTCAAAAGTTATGCACCGTGGAAGAACTCTTAGCTATGGTTAAAATATACATCTAAAAAAGGGAAATATCTAAGGTATTTACAAAAGAAAATTTTGATTAAATTCACCTATGCTTCAAAAATGTTTACTGTTTTAAGAAAAAAGAGTTTCTATAAAGCAAAATACTTATCATTTTGAAATGAAACGTTTCCCTCCCATTGCATTAGGTTAGTTTACGTTGGATATACCACTCACCCTCCGCCAGGTGGCGATGGAGCGCGATTGGGTTGGGTAACTGCTATTGTATGTAGGATTACATATAGAAAATTATATTGAAAAAATGTCGGAAATAATTATTCCAACTAATTACACATATCTCAAAGAACCGTCAGACATAAGTTCCTTCTTTAAATTAGCGATATTTTTACGAATTTAATTTCAAATACATAGCGCTGCAGTAGAAATTTATCTGATTTTTAGCAGGACAAGTACCAAAAACGTGTCATAAATTCTACGTCAGTTATAACTTTCTTAATTTTAGACTTTAAATGTATACCACTTAATAAACATTTTTAATATCTATGCCTTATTTTATTATGTTATCAAATTTGCTTTCATACTTTAGGTCATCTAAAATGGTACAAAAATAAGTAAGAGGGCGCAAATTTGCTACGAGATTGTTTCAATGCAGAATTTAGTCAAAAGTCTAGTAAGCAATATATTTTAAAAATAAAACTGCTACTTGAATAAAAAAGATGAATATTTCATGTGAAATACTTAATTATTTTTCGTGCTAAAAAATAATTATTAAATATTAAAATTATATTCAACAACTTAACAAAGATATTTAAAAAATTAATAAAAAAAAAACCGTAATATCTCCTTTATTATTTAAATAAATTATTGAAAACTGAGACAATCAATATTATATTTTGTTACTTTTATAAAATAAATTGTTTGCTTAATTAGTTATACATTAATTATTAAAAAACTAATAGTGTTTAACTACACAATACAAAAATTGATTTTATAATGTTTTACATGAACACTAATTTTGAAATTTGTAAATAATTACGTATGTATGATTTCAAGGTAATTTTTTCGAATTTCAAGTTCATAATTTATATAATGTTGTTGGGTTCGATAATAATATTCATACATACATTCTATTTCCTCATCTTTTATTATTTCTTTAAAATGTTTTTTATATACAGTCATTTCTGAAATTTTGCCGGATAAAAGTTTCTTCTTTAACTTTGCAATATATTTACGATGATCGCTAGTTATAATTCTATAATAAATGCGCCACAGCATTTGTTCATCTGGTTCTTGGCAACGTCGAAGGTACCAAAAACGTGCCATAAATTCTTCGTCAGACATACCTTTCTTAATTCTAGACTTTAAATTGTTTATCTCGTTTTCAGAAAGGACACGTAATCGGTAAGGACTTTGTTTTTCAAAATCATGATCTTCCAAATAATCTATAAATATATAATTTTAATATTTTCTGCATTAATAATTTTTCTAAAATAGTATAAATTCAAAAGTTAACTTAAATGCAAATGATTCTTGTTACCAACCTAAGTTTTCATAATATTCTATCTTTCCGTCACAAAAAGGACATTTAAATTCACCTCTCGACAATCTATTTCCGCAATAGTTTCCTGTTTTATGACCACAGGGGGAGAAGCTCACTGAGTTTGTCTCTACTTCGCAAAATAGACATAACAAATCTATACAAACAATGTACGTTAAAAGTATTTAGATTAATTGGGTTATCAAAGTTAAAACGATTATTCCATGAGTTGACTAATCCGATTAACAAGAATTTGTTGATTATTGGCTAATTAATTTACGATTGTATAATATACAATCGTAAATTATATACAATATATATAATAAAATTCATGAAGATTTAATTGACAAGTGACAGTTAAATCTGTTACTATTAATTTAATAATTTTAATAATCAATGAATGAATTTATTCATCATACTTACAGTATTTAGATTAAAAAATAGAAGTATATTTTCAATTACATACCATCTGGGATTTTTTTTGTATTTTCTATAAATTAAACAGTTAACAAATTTCACTATTATTACATAAATGTCTATTAATTATATATTTTATTCTCTAAATATAAACGTATGTATTAAATTGGCTAATAAAATNAATTATATATTTTATTCTCTAAATGTAAACGTATGTATTAAATTGGCTAATAAAATAAAAAATGATTTAAAAAGTAACAACTAATCGATAACAATTTTTGAACCAATACTTTTTCGTCCAAATTCGGACTTCTGACTAGGTACAAAAAATAAATATAGTTTAAAAAAACTAAAAAACACGCTTTTAAAGAACATCGAACTAAAAAGTTAAAAATAATTTTTAAAATAAGCGTAAAACAATAATGAACGAAAAGTACTAGTATTATTGTGATAAAAGCGTGGGTGCTTTGTGCTATATTTTTCGTATATTGAGCGCCCGACGCTTTTATCACAATAATATTAGTACATTTCGTTCATTATTGTTTTACGCTTATTTTAAAAATTATTTTTAACTTTTTAGTTCGATGTTCTTTAAAAGCGTGTTTTTTAGTTTTTTTAAACTATATTTATTTTTCACTTTTTAGTTACATGTTACTCTAGTAGTTACTATCAATATCATGGTTGTAACGGGTAAAGGGGAATCAGGGTTCGATTCCGGAGAGGTAGTCTGAGAAACAGCTACCACATCCAAGGAAAGCAGCAGACGCGCAACGTGGAGGTAGTGACGTAAAATGACGATACGGGAATCATCCTTTGTAATCGGAATAAATACCCTATATATCTCTTAATGAGAATAAAGCGTATTAAAATATAAGTTTTAATAGTAATTAAAATATATATATATATATACATGTAAAGCGACTTAAGTACGTAAACGTATCATGCACGAGGTATAGCTGTGTTTTGTTGGCGGGCGGGGCGCGAGGCATATATGGCGGTAGCGGCGTCGGCTGTGCGGCACTTGCTGGACTTTGCACCGCGGCGTATAACGCGCGGTGTTGGTCAGTCAAATACTCAAAATTTTACAGAAAAAAAATAGTATAGTTGCCGACTGGTGAGCGGGGTGGGGTGAATGCGTTACGACGGTCTAGTCTCAAGGTCATAGACGACGGGATACGCGACATAATAACACGTGCCGCGTGGAGTTACAAACTTACAACATACAAACAACATACAAACAACATACATGTGAAACTAATAAAAGCGTGTTAATAAGGCTATTTTTAAAAACATTTAGCCCTTTAGAAATTTGTTTTCAAATGTGTTTATGAACATAATTTTTACTGTACTGTTACAGACTTATTTCATGTTTATTAGTGTATATAATTAACATCCTTATAGGGCTAAAAATTAGCCTGTTAATAAATTTAATTAATTAAATAAATAAATATAATTATGTTTTCAGTTACAAATCTATACAAACATTACACGTTAAAAGTATTTAGATAAATTGGGCTATGAAAGTTAAACCGAATATTCCATTCAGTTGACTAATCCGTTAAACAAGAATTGTTTATTGTAATTAAATAAATAAATAAATATATGTATATTTCTATTACCTACCATCATCTAGAATATTTTTTGAATCATCTATAAATTAAATGTAACAAATTTTACTATTATTACATAAATATCTATTTTATTTTATATTTTATTCTTTAAATGTAAACGTATGTATTAAACTGGCTTATAAAATAAAAAATGATTTAAAAAGTAATAACTAATCGATAACAATTTTTGAACCAATACTTTCTCGTCCAAATTCGGACTTCCGACTAGATACAAAATATAAGGCTATTTTTAAAAACATTTAGCCGTTTAGAAACTTGTTTTCAAATGTGTTTATGAACATAATTTTTACTGTACTGTTACAGACTTATTTCATGTTTATTATTGTATAGTATACAGCCTTACATGGCTACAAATTAGCATGTTAATAAATTTAATTAAATAAATAAATAAAATTATGTTTTCAGTTACCTTTTGACATATCTTTTGGATTCTCTATAAATTAAACAATTCAAATTTTACTATTATTATAAAAAAGTATTTAAAATATGTTTCCAATATATTGTACTTTGCATAAAAACTAAATATGATTACTTATTTTTATTAAAAATTTATAATTGATAATGTGGCAACAGTAAAATATAAAACAAAAATTTTATTTAAGTAATTTTTTATACAAAAAATAAGGCTATTTTTAAAAACATTTAGCCCTTTAGAAATTTGTTTTCAAATGTGTTTATAAACACAATATTTATTGTACATTTTAGACTTATTTCATGTTTATTAGTGTGTGTAATTAACATCCTTATAGGGCTAAAAATTAGCCTGTTAATAAATTTAATTAATTAAATAAATAAATAAAATTATGTTTTCAGTTACCTTTTGACATATCTTTTGGATTCTCTATAAATTAAACAATTAAAATTTTACCATTATCATAAAAAAGTATTTAAAATATGTTTCCAATATATTGTACTTTGCATAAAAACTAAATATGATTACTTATTTTTATTTAAAATGTATAATTGATCATATGGCAATAATAAAATATAAAACCAACATTTTATTTAAGTAATTTTTTTTATCATGTTTATAATAACTCAAATATATACTAATAAATTTTTAATTACTGTTTATTGTATCTTCATTTGGGATACCTGAAAATTAAAACATTAGATAAAAATGGTATTTTTTCATAAATATCGAAGTACATGATTTGTTGCTTGAAGTGCTTAAGGATGTATTCATATTTACAGTTGAGCTCTGACGTTTCGAACTTATGGCAGAGTGATGGTTGCTGGTCTGCGGATGCAACTATTCTGGCGTCTTATCTTGATAACAGTCTGCTTTTATACAATTGTTAACATCTGGTTTTTGACTAATGTTGTTTTTTACGGCATTCTTGACATTTTGGTCTTCCTTTCAACACCGGCAATCGTCTATTATGTTGATTAATTTCGGTGTTGTTGGTTGATTTTCTTTTTGTCTGATCTAGGATAGGTAACCGAGGTTTGCAGATTTTCCATAAATCTTCTCTATTGAAATATTCCGGACATTTCTCGATTTCTATTGCTGCTTTATACATCCATTTGCCAAAATGTGTTTCTTTGTTTAGTAGTTTTTACTTTATCGAATTGGATGTCATATCCTCTGTTTTTGTCATGCTTAGCTACTGCGGAATATTCTGTCCTTGGGTACTCCACGTCTTTTTCATGACTCATTCTTCCATGAAGATAAATCTCTAGTTTAGTTGTAGCCACCGACCAGCAACCATCACTCTGAAGATGGACTGTGCAATGAGTCCGAAATATCAGAACTCAACTGTAATGTATACATCCTTAAGCTCTTCAAGACACAAGACATCAATGAAAGCTTTAACACATTCATCCACGATTTGTATTTGTAAGTTATTATAAGTATTAATGATGCTGGTCATTACTCTCTTAGAATCATTCTCGAACGGAGACGTAAATTCTTTTTACGAAATTAATTTAAAAAAATATTACTAATTTAAATGTCTTTAAAATAAATTAACATGAAATAATATAACAAATAAATCGTAAGATTTTTAAAAAGTAAATAATAATAATAACCTATTATACAATAATAAATATTATTATAACAAAATATAGGAAAAATATTTATTGAGGCAGGGGAAATTTAATTCAGACGACTCAAAAATAATTTTGCAAGTTGTGCTCTTGTATAAAATATGATTTTTAGTGTACATTTGTGTGCTTATTTCGTTTTATTTTAATGCATGAAGTTCTATATGCCTGTTATTATGTAATTACTATAGTTATTACAAAAACTTTTATTTCTTATTTTTCTGAAAATATTTCCAGACTACAGTCACACAAAAACGAAATTGTCCCTTAACAAGCAGTCAATAATTCATAAAATCCCTACCGATTCCATAAAAAAGGTCTGATTAAAATATTTTTTTCGTAATTGACTAAATCAATTACTTTTTATTGACTAAACTGTAAAGTTTCCGAAATTCAGTTATCCATACCTAGTTATTTTATACTGTTAATTATATATGTTACAAATTATACAAAATTGTATAAATTGTAATCCAACAATAAAAAAGTTTTTAAAAAAAGTACAATTGAATATCAAAATTATTTTTAATTACATATTGGAGTAATGTTTTTGAAATTATGATCGTCTTTTGAATTTCCATTGGTTTGTGATTGTCCTGTAAAAAATTGAATTTATTTTGTGATTAATTTATTTAAAAATAGCTTTAATCTAAATAAAATAAATAAGTTATTCAAATTAAATTTTTCATTTTGTTTTTTTATGTAAAGGATATTATTTTATAATATGAATGTCACAATTATATATATATATATATATATTTGAATTTAATCTATGCTTATTTATCTATAATTAATTCTTAAATATTTCTAATAGAAAATTAACAACGTATATACCAAAATTTAATTAAGGAAACCATACTATACCAATTAAACTCAAAAGTACACTAGTAAAATACAATATAAATTTAATCATCTTCTAATGTTGAAATTATTATAATTGCTTAATTAAAATGAATATAGTATTTTTTGAATGAAATAAAATATTACTACTTATTATTTTTAACGTCATTTAACATAAATTCATATTCCCTTTCAAGTAACTATTTCTGTAAATTTTAAACATGAACTCATTCTTTAAACATCATAAAGAATAAATAAAATTTTTAAGTGTGGTGTAGTTTCTACAAATACATAGTACTAATAAACTATAAACTAACAATGTGTTAGAAATTAGTACCTTATAATAATTATTTTTAATTTAATTTACAAATTTTTTTTGTAGATAATTAATAATACATTTAATTACCATATAACGATTTATACATAAAATTATAAAAATTAAAACTTTGTAGCTCTTTTACAATTTTAAAAATCAGTAATTTTCGACAATTTTTTTTCCTAAAACTGCCATAACTTTTTTAAAAATGAACAAATCAATATATACATATTTTTTTTACAAATACCTCAGGTATTTACCTATTGTTTTATCTATTTTTGTGATCACTTGACCCTTTGCCTACCAAAAGAGAGGTTTTCAAAATGGCAACTTTTCTATAAATAATTTACTTTTTTAACTTAACCTATGAAAATTTTCTGAAAATACTGACACTTTTATACATGTCTTAAATTGATGCTTATGTAATGTACTTTAATTTGAAAAAATAAATGTGACCTCTGGATTTGTCTTCATGGTGAAAATTTTTGTGATAAAATTCTGGGATTTGTATTTGAATTTTATTTTAAAATATCTTACATGAGGAGTACACAGATTTTCATAATTATTGTATAAATCTAATTGATATAACATAGGAAGTTAAATTTTTTTGCTTCTTTTAGTTCTTTCTTTCTGCTTTAAGTTGAGAAAAATTACTTTGAAATTTGTACTAGCTTAAATTAAAATTAAAAGTCGTTCTTCTTTTCTGTTAATTTATTTTGACAAATTATAATACTGTTGCTAATAACAGGTAGAAGATTATGCACAACATTTGCGTATGTACATCCAAGATATATAGTCAAAGCTCGTATTTTTTGCCTTCATTTATTGCAATCTGTTGGTATTTCCATCAAATTTTGCAGATAATGTTCTTTACTGCAATATTTTATAAAGATCAAATCATTTAAATTTTTCCATCCGGAACCCGCGGTTGGGGCAATCACTACGGGTACACTGTAGTAAGTTATCTAACTGATCCATTTTTCTTCTTGAAATTAAATCAGATTTCGTACAGAAAATAATATAAAACCTATCTTGGTGAGTTTTAAAGAAATCATTTGGATTATAATTAAATTTAATTATGATTGAATTATTTTTATCAAAATATAATTCGGCGTAATGTCAAAAGATACGTTTTTATACTGTGTTTTATTTAAAATAATTATTTATTTATATATAACATTTTATACAGGCGAAGCCCAAAAATATATATAACAATTATTATAAAAATCATTAATAAAAATTAGTGAGAAACAAGTAACAAAAGAAAATTTATATAAACATTGATCCAAAATATAAATTAAAACAACATAAACGAGGCTTAATTAAAATACATCGAAAGCTGGATCATTATTAGCCAACCACATAAGGCGAATCATTTGGGCGGTGTCAAGGAAATAAGAAGGGGTAGGGGGTATTAGGAATGTAGTGTTAAAACGGGTGGTGCGAAGAGAGATTTAAAATTTTAGAAGGCTAAGAAGTTGGATAGATTCCATTCTGTTGGATAGGAAGTTATTTAGGAAGGCGAGGTTTGAATTGTGGCGTCGATGTGCAAGGCTGGAGAAATGTAGGGTAAATAGGATAGGGGAGTAATCATGAGGAGTATGAGGGATATTGAGGCGATATGCTGCCAGGTTTAAACATTTTCTTTGGACCCTTGCTAGTGATTCGCTTGTACAAGCCGTTTGGGGATCCCAAAGAACAGAGTGTATTCTAGGATGGGGCGAACAAGGGAGGTATGGAGAGTTTTAAGAGGGTTGGATAATTTAAATTCTTGAGTAAAACGGGAGATGAAACTAAGGAGTTTGAGGGCTTTACAGGAAATATGTGTTTGTTTGGAGAAAGATTGTGAGTGAGAATAAACCCAAGATCACGTATTGACTCAGAGGAACGAATTAAAGGAATGTTATTAATATAATAAGGAAACACAATGTGAGAATTACGTCGGAAGAATGACATGATTGAGCATTTATTAATATTGAGAAAGAGGCCAAGGGTTTCACTCCAGTTAGTAAACCGCAATAGATCTTCTTGTAGTAGGTGGTAGTCAGATAAGGAATTGATACGGAGGAAAAGTTTCATGTCGTCAGCAAATATTAGTAATTTAGAATAACAGAGGACTGATGGTGCGGAATTGATGAAAAAAACAAACAGAAGATGAGAAAGAATTGCACCTTGGGGTACTCCACAAGATGTATAGAAGTTATCGGAGGTCGAATGGGAAGTTGACACAAAATATTGACGATCAGATAATTAAGAGTAAACGCAAGACAGTAGAGGATTACCTATACCTAGATTATCCAGAGTTTGAATTAGAATACTATGATCTACTTTATCGAATGCTTTTGAGAAGTCTATGTAAATGACATCTACTTGACTTTGCTGACTGAAGGAATCATATATGTAGGATGAGAGGATGAGGTTACAAGTGATTGTTGAACAACCTAGACGAAATCCATGTTGTTCATCACATAAAATATTATTGAGGATAGGATGGATAGAATTAATAACAATAGTTTCAAATAATTTAGATATGTGAGAAAGCGTGGTTATTGGACGGTAATTTGTTACTTGAGACGGGTCACCGGTTTTAAGTATCGGGGAAATTGAGCCAAGCTTGAGTGAGGAAGGGAAGAACCCGGAATCAAAAGATGTTTGACATAACAGGAAGAGTGGCCAGGCAATAACATCCCTTAAGATAAATAAAAAGTAGCCTTGTATTCCATCAGGGCCGATAGTTTTATTGTTACGAAGGGAAAATAGGAATTTACTAACATCGTCAATAGTGAACTCTATTGTGGAGGATAAAAAGGAGAAATTGGGGGGAAGGTGTGCTGGACAAGATAAAGAATTGACAGAAGGGGTAAGTATAGAGGAAAAATAATTAGATAAAATATTAGCTACTTCTTTAGGGGAGGTACTAGAAACATTATTAAACACTACATGCCTGGGTGATGTACGAGATGAGCGGGTTTTGCGTACAAAAGACTAAAAGAACGAAGGTTATTTAAAAGAGATGATTCTGTACGGGAAATGTAGTCACGGTAGTAACGTTTAGATATAACTTTATAGCGAGCGTACAAAAGAGAGAAATTTTTATAGCCCATAAGTGATGAGTTTAATGTATACCTAGCATGAGCTGAGTTTTTTAAGTAAACTAGTTTTTTGAGTTCCGGATTGAACCAAGGCGGAAGGGTAGAATGATTAGAAAATTTTATGGGAACAAAAGTAAGAATAGAAGAATAGGAAAGTGTCCATAATTTGATTGTTTTGATAAAAACCATGAAATGAAAAAGTTTCAGGTACACTTAAGGGCTGTGATAAGGAAGTGGAAGAGTAATAGAGTCCATGATTGTCATTTGACCATGAAATGAACCGAAGATTATAATCGCCACAGAAAATTAAGGAGTAAGATGAGTACTGTTGGGCTATGGATTCGACTGAGTCTAGATGTGCCTAGTATAATTCAATTGGGGAGTGAGGAGGGAAATAAACACCGCAAATTATAAAATTATTTGAATTAGTACTAAAATGGATGAATAGTTGTTCAATACCACAATCTGAGATGGAGAGAGGAAAGGAAGGAATGTCTATGCGTATGGCTATAAAAATCCCATCACCTCGTTCACAGGAGCTTGTAGTAGGTAATATATTAAATCTATATATATAATAATTAATTAAACCTAGTTCAGAGGAGAAAAAATTACTATTAAGCCAAATTTCAGTGAGTACAATGAACATATTGTAACGTGACAAAATGTGAATTTTTATGGTATAGATAGATTTACTGCTTTGCTTTGCTAATGGGCGTGCGTACGTTATATCCGACCATGTAATCAGAAAACTGTACTGTTGCTGTCAAGGTGAACGCTATACACACAATATTCTTTATCAGTTTAATAATCGTTCCCTATATGACACATACACTGGCCACCACTGTCAATACCTGTATAATTTCAATATTATTCATACTTTTATCTTTTTTATATTTTGTAAATTGTTAAGCCGATACCTACTCCCAAACGTAATCGTCGTCGTCGTTGTGTCTCGCCCGTTGTATAACAAAAATTGACTCTCTTCCCTTTGAACCACCGTTATGGTATTACTTTGCTGTGTGCGTACAGCCGACATTGTTTTCGTATGTGATATTTTTTTTAAATTGTGTATTAATTCAACAAGGCGTCGGCCATTTCGGGGGCCGAGATCCCCATCTTAGAATGAGTCCCATCCGGGACTGGGTATCCTATTGTTTTTTTTATTTAATATATAGTTTTGAGCCTTTTCTGTTTATTTGTTTTATTCTTTTATGAGATATATACATATATTTTTAGCTATAGTTAATAAATACAAGGTTATTGGTCAGTGGTGTGTCATGTATATTTAATACATATATATATATATATATTATTCCTGCAGTGCCCAAGTACGGTCCGGCCGGCCCGATTACAAAAATTATCCGTCGCGCCCGGAGTACATGGACTTGTTCCGATACGGAAGACACTTCACGTGTAATGTTTAAAAGTTGTAGGTAAAAAATTTTTTTGTCGTAATAATTGTTTTTTTTCTCTTTTGTCCCTTCATTTTCAGAGACATACTAAAGTATGTCCACCAATGGTGACATCAAACAAACAGATTTTATTTTATTTACAAGGTATCAGCGTATTGTAGTCTACAACAACACTTTATATCTTAGTATATATATAAATATACATATAATTTTTTATATATTATTATAATATATAAATATTATTATTATTATTATCATAACTAGCAGATTATGTAACTTTTTGGAATAATTCACAATTTTTTTAAAATTAAACACTATCTAAAGATTTCCATCGAAGCGTTTTTTTTTTATAGTGAT